GCAGATTAGGCCCTCAGAGATTGTTTGAAATACGAAGATGTGTTGACTAACGCAACCGCTTCAATGGATTGGTAGATGGATCGACCTACTCTGGTTTGAATAAAGCGGAAGACATACACCACATTTTAGAACAAACCTAATCGTAGAATGATGTGCTTCTTGGCAAGCACTGAACCAAGACCAGTGGACTCGCATTCAGCGGTTAGAGAAATGAGATCTCAAACACATAGTAGATACCGGACACCTGATACCACCTACCTGCCCATCAACGCACTTGACTTCTTTCCACACCTTCATGATCCTACTTCGTCAATTTTGGAAAATTATAAGCATTTTGCTTCGTTTTGTCTTGAGACAAACTTCATCAGTCTGCCGACGTAGATGGCTAAACAGTCCAATGTAAATGCTCCATTGAGCTTTGGACAATGCGATCGTTTCTGTCGGAGACCGGTTTAGGAAGGCTCGTCTAGTGGTTCATGCAAGGCCTTCTAAGCATCAAATCAAGTGGTAGTGAGAGAATTCATTTGCCTCTGATTTTGGTGTGTTTATGCGCAAATGCGTGAGTGTGGATCGCCGTCGCAATTCCCATCCCGAGGAAGCACCGCCTAATTTGTGGGCAGAGACTTTGATACAGACATCGTCATGGGTCCTACGTTCACATTTAGCTGGTGGGTGAAGACAAGTTATTCATTGTTTGTGTGCCTGATAAGATTGGCGGTGGTGATGTAACCACCCAATCTGAAGGCTAATATGGGACCTGTGTGTGTGCGCCAGCGGACTGGACAGTGGAAAGTGGGTAGGAAAGACTGACCAGGATTCCCCCGTCAACGCAACGCACTTAAGTCTGCCACCTACTCACTCTTCAGCCTTGACATTAACCTAACTCTTAGAGCCTATATTAGCCGATTTCATTGGACCCAATACTAACATCAGGTATTGAGTGGGCAGTGACTAAGGAGGGGCTCGTCTTCCAGGAAGTTTTAGGCAAATCACCACGAAAATGGGAAATTCCACAACGTGGAAGTAGGAGGAGAATAAGGAGAAGAAAAGGCTATTCTGTGACTGCATGCAGTTCCATTAGCCTACCCAACACAATCGGTCACACAATCCAATGAAACGCAGTGGCACGAGGTGCGTGAATGAACAAGTTGCTGTGTAGGTCAAGAACAGGCCATTGCATAGGCCGACATTATTTCAGACATACTTATAAGTACAGCATGTGCAGGTTGTGTT